AAACCATTCTATGATTCTATGATATATTTGTAAATAACAATCTATTTATTTATTATATTAGTTTATTAATTTTTTTTTTAATGAGTGTCAGAACTGAAAGGAAAAGTTTCAAATGTATAGCAACTAAATGCCTTGACCAATCTGAAAAACAGCTTTTAGGAATTGAGTTGATAAAAGTATTTCAAACTATCAATATTTTGTCCTGATTTAATGGTCACCTTGGCAGTGCTAGGTTAACAGTTGGACTTGATGATCTTAAAGGTCTTTTACAACCAGAACGATTCTATTCTATGATTTAAGATGCATTCAAACCCTGAAATCTGACATACTAAGCAAAAAAAATCCCTTTCTATAACAGCTGTACACATAACAGTGCACTCACTGTTTTATATTAGGGACTATTAAATAGTAAAAGAAATTGAATACTAACATATAGCATAATATATAAAAAGATGTGGAACTGTTAAGTGTCTTTTACTTCTCAACTAGGCAACTGCTATGGCTTGCTGTCCCTCCTCCAACAGTGTTGCTATAGGGACCAAAAGAGGTCAAGTCTATTTCCTTGATGTTACTGAAGTTGAAGCTCCAAGGGTTATTCACAGAATTTTTCTTTCCAAATTTCCAGTGCTGTCTTTGCAGTAAGTATGTAGTAACAAGAGCAGGGATATTGTCAATTTGTTGCTTGAGTAATGTTGTTGAACAAAAAAAATTTGTTTTTAATTCTAAAAATATCAAAGTAAAATACTTTAACAGCTTCAGTTTTTTCCAACATATTCTGAATTGCTTGCAAGAGGAGTAGTAGCAGGATTTATGTGAGAGAAATATAACAAACCTTTATTTTAAGAAGGTTTAACTGAGCACTGACGATACTGATGTATAAGATCCTTTCTGACAGATCACCATATGCATTAATTATGCACAATTACGTGTATCTGAATTTAGAGGGTTATTTGTCACTGAATATAAATTTGAGGTTTTGTGAATTTAATTTTAAACCTTTTGGTCATCCCTTCTTATGTGGTGGATTTTTATTACCATTGTTAATTATTCATTTGTTTGCAGTTCTGGAATATACCAGTCCTCCTGTAATTAGCTCTGGTGATCTAAAAGGCTTTTTTTATTTGATTTTTTTTTAATTATTGAAAAAACTGAGAGTATTTTACTTCTACTTTTTAAAAAATAGAATGGATTTTTAACTGTTAAACTTTAATATAAAGCTGCCTATTATTTGGAGACCCAGATGTGATCTCTTTTCAGTTACCTAAGATAAAACATTAAAAATAGATACAGAAAGCAATTTATTCAAAGTCAAGTCAATGTAAACAAAGACATATCTATTCAAAATAATATCAAAATCTGTATAGTAGTTTTATTTTTAAAAAGTGAACCTCAAAGAAAGATTTAATGGAGTATCATTAGCTTTAGATTGACTACTCACTCATTCAGAAATTGCACTCAGAGCACTGGGCTTTATATCAGGCCCTAAGCCTGTAAACCTAGAAACTGAAATTTCAGTTGCATTTATGCCCTCAATGAAGTCAGCAGAGTTATGGGAGTGGAATTATTTGACCCTTTTTATTGACTGTATCGTACCGTTTTCTACTTGGATTTATATTTTTCCCAGTTATGATCAGAGTGGCCAGTTCCTCATCGCTAGAGCTACAGAAGGACATATCTTTATTCTAGATGCCCGGCCTTCAAAATTATTCCAAGTTCTTGGATATGTAGGTAATATATGTAACAACATTAATTACATTGTGTTTCACTGTTTGCTGTATTTTAAGTATACTTGCTGGTCAGACTAACCCACTCTCATTCATTCTACTTATTTTTAGGAGGACTAAACATGTTCTTCCCACCTATTTCCAAACCATATTTTGTTTTGGCCAATCTTTTTATTTGTTTGTTTCCTCTGTAATTTTAGTTAGCAAATGCACCAATATTACTTTTCTTCCAGGGTACATGTAAGTCACAGGGAAGAAAATGGATTAGGTGACCAGCTGATGACAACTCCAGCACAAAAGTAATAGTGCTGGCAAAGAATTTCAGACCTTTGTGGGTCACCATATGAGAACTTGGACTAAAACTCTGTAGGTCATGATAGCTGGGTGCAATCTCCTGTTATAAATGTGTGCCCCAGACATCTTTAATGTGAGGATTGCTGGAATTGTCAGCTTTGTTGGTTGATACTGAAAAATAAAAAGTGATGGAATTTTAACTAACAAAAAAACCTTCTGAAATGTGTAAATTCGTTTATGCAGTCTCTCACTTCCAATAACATTATACTTACAGATCACATCTGTGCATTTTGATCTACATCATAATTTTAAGTATAAAGGACACTATCCTTTTCATTGGTTTGACAGATACAAGATTACATCTCCTTAGATAATTTTCAGAATTTGCCTGATTGTGTTCTCATTGTCTGCTTGGCTTCTTAGAGGGGGGCTTTGCTGTGCTTTATCTGGTGGTTATCAGCAGATGGCCTCAAAATTGCTATAATTCAAGCTGATGTAAACTCACATTTGACTGTTTAATGTAATAATAACACTCTGGTGCTTAGCATTTTCAGTGCCCAATGCCTCAAGCTGAAGTTGTGTGCATACAGCACTTTCTGAAACCAGGTTGTGGCTTGTCTGACATTTTAACACAAGCTCAGAACTGTGTGGTTGAGCTGGGAATGTATTCTGAACATGGATCTCCTTTTGTTTCACATGATAATCTTAGTAAAAACCATGTTACCGTGATTCAGTAACAATTTGCATTGGTGTTCCCTACCTGCTTCAGTGTTGGCAGATGAAGTGCTGGATCTTTCTGTAGTTTCTGACTTCAAGAATGACTTAGTTGAAGTGGTTGTACTTCTTAATGTAGTAGAGGTCCAGCGAGCAAGATTGGAAATTTTTTTTCTATCATCTTCAGCACTCACAACAGGTAAGAATTGAAATATATATTAGGTGATATTTTTTGAAGGCAAGAACATATTATTGCCATCCCTTAACATTGACAGTCTTAATATCTTTCTTCATCTCATCTGTACATTCTCCTGGGACACCATTTCTCATACAGCAGTCTGTAGACTTATAGTGATGTCTTCTGTCTATCACATGACAGCAAAAGGCAGCCTGTGTTCATTATTAACATCATTCTATTTTTATATCATTTTACTTACATTATATGCAAATGAATTACTAACAAAGCCTTTTGTGGAGAAAACTGTAAAACTGTTAGTAAGCCTAGTGTCAGATTTTCTAGTTATTTACATATAGTTTTTAAAAGGCCTTACAATTTACAAGCTTTTTGAAAAGTAATTTTCAATGAAGTTAGTATTTTCTTTAAATATTTACTAATATTGGGCTTCTTTTTGTACCCAATTTTAGACATATAAAATGAGGCTTGATTTTCAAAGTTGCTGAAGATCTACAGTTATTGCATCAGTCTTAATTTCAGCTGTATCTTTAAAGCTCAAATTAAGCAACCAAAACCAATAAAATGACCGTTTGAAGATGTGAACTTAAGTCTTTTAACAAATACTACCCAGGCTGTGTGTACTTCATGGCAGAGATGCCTAAAGTTCTAGCTGAAAGCAATGATGACATGAACATCCATGCAAATTAATGAGCACTGCTTACATAATACCCAAGAAGCAGGGTAAATTAATGTGTACAAATTGTCACATCACTGTGGTTGAACTGGTTCTAGTGTTTCTTTAGAGCTAGTAGAGCTATCTTTCTGCTTCGCTGCAGCGTGCTAGGATGGCACAACCCACAGAGTTAGTGTTAAAGGTAGATATCTTAATTCCCAGTCTCCTCCTTGAAAACTCGCATCATGCTCACTCCTTGCTGAGATTTGTGTTCGTAATCACTTGACAGGTGAAGCACCTGTATTAGTGGTAGTGATGCCTCTTCCTCCCTGTTGTTTTTTTTTTAATCTTCTAGATAATGATAAATATGTTAACGAACAAGGAATGCTTAATGCTTGTGCCATTAAAAAGGAGCAATATGATCTGGATTACCCTTTGAGCTCAGCAGTCAGGTTGAAGGACAACATTGTGTATGGCTACTGTACCTGTGCACCTTTCGTCTGTAAATACCATCTCTCTGAGGAGGTAATTCTCTGAAGCTGTTTTATTTTAGGTGGTGATTAAATACCAGTGAACAAATGCTGTAGATGAAGTGAATATGGCAGGATATTATCTTAAAAAAATCATGTCTGCACTAAAAGTACCTACTCCATCCATAAACATCAACTTTCAGTATCCTGCCACCTGCTCAGAAACCTGGGAAAAGCAATCTCCTTGTTCTATTACAGAGAAAGGCAAATATTGGTTCTTAAAGTTCATACAGCTTGCAGGCACTTCACATGTACCTTCTGTATTGGAGCTGTGCTTTTGTGCAGCCTGCTGAGTAACCTGAATATCCAGCTACTGAAGGAACTGAGCTGATGTGAGCCCATGACTCTTAAGACACAACTGCAAACCCAGCCCAGCCTCACAATGTAGTGGGGGCTTCAGGAGGCCCCTGTCATTGCCTGCTGATGAACTGGAGCTCTCTGCAGCTCATAGGTCTCCCTCAGTTTAAGAGGTCAAGCAAGAATATGAGTTCCAGATGTGAGCATTCCTCCTTGACAAGTCTTGTACTTTCTGAGTCAAGAAACTCCAGGCTCAAACATACATACAAACAACATACCCTTTTGAAGAGATGAGAAGCAAATCAGCAGCATAGCAATGGTACTGCTTCCTGAGCTCAGTAATCCAACAGCATTTTCAATTCCAACATGTGATAACCCACCAAGCTATCATTAGTCTTCTCAAAATGGCATAGATATTTCCATCATCTGAACTGCTGCTGACGTTTTGTTTGTTTGGCAGAATGTGTTGGAAGATCCATCAGTATTTTTATCAGAAAAGAGAATTCCTAGCAATCAGTTTGGATCAGGGTTCCTCTGTTTATCACCCAACAGCCGGTGGCTGGCATCAGCAGCGAAGGATGGCGTTTTGTTCATCTATTATACTTCTACTATGGTAGGTAGGCATCCAGGCACAGGCTTTGTTTGGTTTACAGGAGAAAGAGGTGTGAAAGGTACTTTCTTTCACTCTAAGCTTTTCTTCACTTGAATATAAGGTGTCCCAGAAAAATTTATGTTGAACATGAACTGACATAGCATTATACAGTACAATTGTTTTTATAATGAATGTGTCTATAATCATACAAACTACTTACTTTCTTCTCCAGTAAATCTTAGGGTAGATAATTTTACTAATCTTCTTTATCTCCTGCAAAATCAATATACTAGAAACTTGCCCCATCTGTAGTAAAAAATTACAAAATCAGAAATCCTAGTCTTTTATATACTTTGTATTGACATTTTGAATTTACTTTTATCTAAAAATAAATCAGCATAATTTACAGATGTATTCATTAGAAAAACATATTTGCTGATACTGCTTCTGTGGCTTTTCTAGGATATGCTTGCTCAAAAGCATTGTCACTCATATCAAGGAGGGGGAATCAGATCCGTGGTGTTTTCACTGGATGGCAAATTCATCCTCGTTAATGGCAAAAATGATGGTGCCCTGGTGTGTCTGAAATGGAAGTATGTATAAAGTGGCAGACCATTATTGATGGTGTAAATTCTTGTATACTGACAGACTAATTTTTGCATATACTTGTGATATAGGCTTCCTTTTTATTAGTCTCAAAGTAAGGAGAAGAATTGGATAGAGATAAAATCACTCCTCTCATCTTTAGAGGCAGTCTCCCTGGCTCATGAAAAGCTTCCCAACCATCTTGTTGGGAATATCTTGTACTTTGGATGTGGTTTCAACAGAAGATATAGGAGTGTCTTCTGATAGATATTACCCATAGTGAGCTTCTTATCACTGTCAAATAAACCATTTGGAAGGGGCTCTCTGAGGATGTAAGGGATGTCATCTCATGAGATACCATTTTAACTCAGAGATTAGGAGACATCACAGCTTTAATGGGAATTCAACTGTGGCTACAGAGCTCTTAACAGAGACACTTGAAACTACAGCTTTTCTGTGGTATAACAAATCAGGTAGATGCATAGATTAAAGATGACTCAGAATTTCTAGTTCTGTGGAAACTTCACTTAATTATGCAATTCTAGAACTCAAATAATATTGAATCATATTTAGAAATATTGAATAGACATTTTTAAACAACTTAATTGTGTTATAAAGAATATTTAATACTTCATCCTTTTCCATAATACACAAAAAAATACATCGGTTCCTTTTGGTTTACTAGGAAGATAAAGAAAATTGAAGTTGAGGAAGCTGCTTTTCACTGGAAATCTCTTCTTCCTACACTGAACACGTCTACTTCAAATGAAAATGTTGTTTTAAAATCTATGGCAAAATGGCAGTTTGATCTGGAATCCACATCAGAATCACTTCCACAAGAGAAATTTAAGGTGTTTTCTTTATTTTTATGGGGAAAAAAAGTTTGACCACTATCCTAAAATTACACATGATAAAAACTGTCCTCAAAACAAACTCTAATCCTTTTGTAAAAGTAGAAGAATACCCCTGAGGATAGGATGAATATGCTTAATTATTAATTTGTGGAATAGTATTATCAAGGAAATAGAATAGTTATGGGAAGATGACATTCATATCTTCAATGTCACTTGGTTTCTTCAGCCACAGAAAACTCTGTGAAAGTCAGTTTCTCCTTACATGAAGTTTTGTGTCATTCCCAGTGTGATGTTACTGCTATACACTGCGTACTACTAGTCCTATATTTTTCCATTGAAATCAAGCAAAACAGTGATTACAGAGATTAGTAGTCAGCCCCTTTGAGTCAAAAGGCTTTGCATAATAGCAATGGTTTGCAGGGTCAAATCTGGGGACTAGTTAGGGAATCAAAATGTCGTAACACTCTCTGGAATTTGGTGGTGGTGTTGCTTCTAATGTAAGTCCATTTTTCATTTCATTTCTGTCTCTCATTTTCTCTGAGTATCTGAGATAGATGTTTATATCCTTAATTTCAGGAGGAACGACTTAAATCTTCCAATGTAGAGGTGACAGAAGAAGATGGAAGCATCACCAGTTTGTATTCAGCCAGTACCAATGACATGACATGGATAGGCCAGAAAATAAAGAAGGTACTTTCATAGAACAAGTATTAATCAAAGCTAGAGTTTTCAGGAGTCAGTAGTGATTTGGGGTGCCAAATTATATGCTGTAAAGGAATCTAGTTTCTAGAGCTTTTCTGACATTTGGACCTCTCTTTTAAGACATTGTGATCTAGACTTTTGGAAATCCTAGGTCAAGGTTATAAACACATCAGAGAAGTTACCTAGCACAACAGGAGCTCTAAAGACCAAAAGACCACATCTACACAAGGAGTAAACTAAATAAAAATTGACAGAGAAATTGGCTTCCTTTAGAAACTTATAAAGACTTTTTTTCTTCTAAATGTCAAAAAATTACCCAGAAGATTATTACCAGAAACCAAGCAGGTGCTCTCTTCTTCCCAAAAGCCAGAATAACAAATTCTACAGCACTGATATATCAGTACTCAACAATATGACAGTAAGTACAAAACCCCTGAGGTTTATTTCAGGTTAAGGTTAAGGTTGAGGTATGTTATGTAACCAAAGTTTTTTAGAAATAAAAGTGCATCAGAGATCTAATTGCCTACAAAGAGGGGATTTCACACTTTGTGAGTCTGGAAACTGCTATGTTAATGTTAGTATAGATTATTTTTTCCCAGAAATATGAATTTATGGACGTTCTTTCTGATATGAGCCAGAGCTGTGTATTTTGTCAAGCTTTTGAGATTCAGTGATGGGACAAAGCAAAATATCATTGCTTTCTGAGTGATCTCAGGAGTGACTTTCCAAATTATGATGCAGTTTCATTAGCATCTCAAGTCAATCTAAGACATACTGCTGCTGAAAGTAGTGTCTTCTCCATCCCTCTCCCAGAAACGTATTTCTGTTTCTGCTTTGATGCTGGCACTCATGCTTTGGTGTCTCTGTTGAGATTTTTTTGACAAATCCTTGTGACTGTGCATACACGAGTACCGCATGACTATTAGTATCAGCTAGGGAAAGGTGATGAGAAGCAAAGGTTGAAGGGCAGTAATGTGGTCCTAGGTTGTTTTAAGCTGCCTGTTAATGTCTTCAGAGACTTGCATCTGACTTTTAGAGGATGGAGTCCATCCAATGTTGGAATGATACACCCCTTCCTTTCAATCAATAGCCATCATCCTATTTAAAGTTGTAAAATTATTTTAGAAAGCAAATTCCAGAGGTGCAGACTAATTGCAAAATGTTCCCTAAGAGATGAATCGGCAAGGCTGTAGGGGCAAAGAAAATTTCACTGCTTCCAGAATGAGTAACAGATGTTAGTTTACTTGTGTCTTTAAATATGGAAATGCTTAGTGACACTGAAAAATCTAAGGAATATAAAATACTTAAATTCTGGCAGTAGGCTTTACCCATTTCAATGTGTCTGTAATAATTTCACTAGTAATTACTTCTTTCTTTAATATATTCTTTTTTTTAAACTCTGTTGCTGTACAACCAGTTTACAATGTGACCTGGGTGTACAATCTTTTTTCTCTTGACCAGTTCTAAGAATCATCCTATTGAATTAGAATTCTGTCTCAGTTATCCCTTTGGAGTTTTGTTTTCTGTACAGATAATGGTCCTTTACATTATTTCAATCTTTTTTTTTCTCCTCTTGTCTGTTTTTGTCTTTCAACAATATATTTGTTGTACGTCAGGTCATTAGAGAAGAGACTCAGAGGTTTGCTAACCAGAAGAAAGAGCTGCAAATGGGACTTAAGAAGCTGCGTAAAACCGTGAGTTTCTTACAAGGGTAATGGCTCAGCTTACCCAGTTTTGTTTACAAGTACACTTCCTTTATGGCTATCAGCTCAAGCGCTCAGTTACGTTTTTGTCATAAACTCTGAGCAGACAGGTAATAGAGATGTACTTCTTCAGGGACTATACACTGAACCTGTCAGGAACTACTGTCTGGTTCTCACTTTCCTTTGCTCCAAATAAATATTTTGTGCTGCTCTCATACCCTGAGCAATCTATCCCCTCAGCAGGCTAGTTTCTGCCTAACGACCTTCCATTATAGAAACTACTGTCCTCTTCTCGTCCTTCTGTTTCCTTCCATAAAAACTGCTATCTGCAAGAGGATAAGGCAAGACTCACCTAGAGCAGTCTGCCCAGGACCATGTCCAAACAGATTTTATCATCTCCCGGGATGGAGACTCTATCCCCTCTTTGGGCAACCTGTTCCAGTACTCAGTTACCTTCACAGTAGAAAAGTGTTTCCTGATGTTTGGGCAGAGCCTCTTGTGTTTCAGTCTGTGTCCACTGGCTCTGATCCCGTCACTGGGTACCACTAAAAAGAGCCTGATTCCATCCTCTTAGCACCCTCCCTTCAATGTAAATACATTGATGAGATTTCCCCCAAGCCACTTCTTTTTTAGGCTGAACAGTCCCAATTTTCTCAGCCTTTCCTCATATGAGAGATGCTCCAGTCCCATAATCACCTTCATTGGACTCTCCAGTATGTCCATGTCTCTCACCTTCCTCAGCCTGCTAGCAACACTCTCAATACAGCCCAGGATACCATTAACCTTTTTTGCCGCAAGGGCGCATTGCTGTCTCATGTTCGACTTGGTGTCTGCCAGGACCCCCAGCTACTTTTCTGCAAACTTGTTTTCCAGTTGCTGAGCACCCAGCATGTCCTGGTGCATGGGGCTGTTCCTCCCCAGGTGCGGGATTTTGCACTTCCTTCTGTTGAACTGTATGAGATAGATAACAACTTAATAAGGAGATAACAACTTAATAAATTGCTTAGAACCAGAGAACAAACTCTGCACTACAGGTTCTTGGAAAGTATATACAACTTTACATATAACATCCAAAGGAACTTTAAGAGAAAGATTAAATACATTCACATAGTACTGACTGCCTTTAGCTGCAGGCAGCACATTCTACCAATTACCATGAAGCAGTTAAAAGTGGAAACAATTAAAATAATTTTCTCTGATATCAAGTTCTATAGTGTTAAAAACAGCATTTCCTCTATCCACATTCAAATTACTTTTTATTCCTTATACTTATTTTTTAAAAAAACAGATTCAGAAAATGATGTATGAAAATGAACAGGTGCCAGACATTGAGAAACTGGAGCAGCAGGAGTTCAACCTGGATATAGAAGAACAGGAAAGAGCACAAGAAGAGGCTGAACAAGAAGTGGCCAGGGTATGATAGAATTAGGGGAGAACATTTTAAAACTAGCAGTGAAAAGGAGAAAGAATGGTTTAAGAGCAGAAGATGATCTCAATGTACCTGTTCACTGCTAAGAAGCAGGAAAACTTAAAAGTATTTTAAGCCACTTTTTGAAGCAGGTGAAGCTGTTGATGTAGACATTGCCAATTGGAATATGATCTATGCTAGAAACTATAAATCTGACACTGCTATATATGGCCTTGGGTACGTTGCTTAAGTTCTATAAAGCTTTTCTTTACATATGAGATGATGCCTTTCAGTAGTAGTAGTATGCAATATAGTTTTTGGAGAAAATAGCTGCAGTAGTCTAAGATGATGAAATATTGGTAATTCATTTAATCTGTTAGATTTATTTCAATAACTCAATACAAATTGCCCATATTGTGTGGGTCCCGTCCATGGCGTGCAGTCCTTGAGGACCAGACTGCTCCAGTGTGGGTCTCCCATGGGGTCACAAGTCCTGTCAGGAAACCTGCTCCAGCATGGGCTCCTCTCTCCACGGGGTCACAGGTCCTGCCAGGAGCTTGCTCCAGCGTGGGCTTCCCATGGGGTCACAGCCTCCTTTGAGTGCATCCACATGCTGAGGCATGGGGACTGCCATGGGCCGCAGGTGGAATCTCTGCTCCGCCATCATCCTCCATGGGCTGCAAGAGGACAGCCTGCCATACCATGGTCATCTCCACAGGCTGCAGGGGAATCTCTGCTCCAGCACCTGGAGCACCTCATCCCCCTCCTCCTTCACTGACCTTGGTGTCTGGATAGTCATTTGTCTCACATTTCTCATTCCTCTCCCTGGCTGCAATTGTTCTTGGTGTTGCACCGGTATTTTTTCCCCCTTCTTAACTCTGTTATCCCAGAGGCGCTACCACTGTCGCTGATTGACTCAGCCTTGGCCAGTGGGAGGTCCAGCTTGGAGCCAGCTGGCATTGGTTCTGTCGGACACAGAGGAAGCTTCTAGCAGCTTCTCACAGAAGCCACCTCTGTAGCCCTTTCGCTACCAAAACCTTGCCACACAAACCCAAATACACTTTTTGTTTTGCACCACATCTTGTTCTTTATCTTGAAAGGTGAGGAAGGAGATTGAGATGGAGAATTTAGTCAACTGCTATTTGCAGGATGTCATCAAACATGAGTGCTGGGATGCTATGTGTGTAAAAGGACGTGCAGTTAAGGTAACCTCTGCTTTCTAACTCATTTTCTACAGTAGTTTATTGCTTCCTTAAGGTACATAGTCAAAATAAATAGAAGTATAACATCTTTCTGATTTGCTTATGGTATGGGAAAAAACTTGCTTTTTCCCAAGTCTCATGCAAATCTTTCATTCTGTTCATTTTGTCTGAGCCTGGCTGATTTTACCTTCTAAGCTGGTTAAGAGTGTTGATAAGCAAATAACCAACTCTTTAATTCCTTGATCTCAGAGAATATCTTTACATAGTGTTGCTAAAAAGAGAGGTAAATATTATTTTTCTGTGTGCAGTCAGTATGACTTCTGCTACGGAGAACGTAAAGGCAAAATTTAACCCTGATTTTGCCTATTTTAAATAGAGGGAGATTAGTCAAACCAATGATACTGGATTCCTGGATTATTTCAAGGGTGGTGAAAGACCAAGTAATTTTATATAAAATCTAGTTCTGGTTGAATTCCATGAATAAAGAGGCCTTATCCATACGTTATTAAGAAAAAAAAAAAAAAGAAAAAAAAAAGAATTTTAAACTAACCATTTTCACTACCAAAAAGGCAAACATTTTTTATCTTACTCCTGTATTTTTATTATATTGTCTATATTCATTGATCCTCAATTTTATTCCTGATTTTAAGAAGTCTTTATAACTGTTTAGCATTCAGGTATTGGACAAATGAATTGATGGATGCATTCTGAAGAAGTTTTTACTTTGGGTTTTTGATGGTTGGGTGTTTTTTTAAATTTGAACAGTGCTTCCATAAGGCTTGTGAAGTGAAGAATTATCCACTGAAGGAACGTAGTGAAGAAGAGCTGGAAACTTTGGAGAAAGTTCTTCGGTTAAAGAAGATTGAGACAGCTGATCTTACGGTACAATCTCTTCGAAGTACTGCATAAAGGCAGTTCAGATCAGGATGTTCTGAGTTGGCATCTTAACCCTTCTTTAAATAGATACATTTCTGAGGTCCATTTTCTTGTTGTAGAAATTGTCCAAAAAAAAAAATTATCTAGAAGATAAATAAAGATGGAATGTTGTGGTTTTACTCAGAACAAATGTATTAGTATTATAATCACAGAATAGTTGAGGTTAGAAGAACTCTTTGGATGTCATCTAGTCCCACCTTCATAGAGCAATTTAGTCAGGGCCTTGTCCAGTCAGGTGTGGAATATCTCCAAGGATGGAAGATTCCATAACCTCTGTTTGCTACCTCTTCCCATGTTTGACAACCCTCACAGGAAAAGTGTTTAATTTTGTTTGTTTGATATCCTGTATTTTGATGTCTACCCATTTCCTCTCAATCTGTCACTGAGCACCACTGAGAAGAGTCTGACTGTTGTCCTTACTCCCTACAATCATGTTTTTATATGCATTGCTAAGATCCCCTCAAGCCTTCTCCTTCTTGAGGCTAAACAATTCCACCTCTCTCAGCCTGTCATCCCATGTTAGATGCTTCGAACCCTTAATTGTATTAGTGGTCTTGCTCCAGTATACGCACCTATACATGTGGTGAGGCAGCACCTCGAGTACTGTGTTCAGTTTTGGGCCCCTCACTACAAGAAGGACATTGAGGTGCTGGAGTGTGTCCAGAGAAGGGCAACAAAGCTGGTGAAGGGTCTGGAGCACAAGATTTATGAGGAGTGGCTGAGGGAACTGGGGTGGTTTAGTCTGGAGAAGAGGAGGCTGAGGGGAGACCTTATCGCTCTCTACAACTACCTGAAAGGAGGTTGTAGCCAGGTGGCTGTTGGTCTCTTCTCCCATGCAACAAGTGATAGGACAAGAGGAAACAGCCTCACATTGCTCCAGGGGAGGTTTAGGTTGGATATTAGGAAAAATTTCTTCACTGAAAGGGTGGTCAGACATTGGAACAGGCTCCCTAGAGAGGTGGTGCAGTCACTGTCCCTGGAGGTGTTCAATAGGCATGTAGACATGGCACTTTGGCACATGGTTTAGTAGACATGGTGGTGTCAGGTTGATGGTTGGACTTGATCCTAGAGGTCTTTTCCAACCTTAAAGATTCTATGATTCTATAACAGAAGTAATTGCTAGTTAAAAGTAATTAATTAAACTTTCCAGTGTGTGTTTGCATGCTAATTATTTCACTGTTGTTCCCCTGCTCCAGTTATCTGTCACTAAATTTTTATTAATTTTTATTTTTTCTACTAAGATACTAATTCTTTATACTTTTACTTTGTAAATATCTTAGTGAAGTTAGGCGAGTAATGTATCATTCGTAAAAGCATCTGTGCATGGGCACTTTATCGACCCAATAATTTTGTTTACTGTACCTAAACATGCTAGAAAAACACATTCTTTCCACTGAATGTTTTATTAAAGAGAACTGTCTGTAAATCCCATCAACTTTCAACATCTTTTTCCCTATATCTAGATCTATGTCTGTCTTGTACTGGGGAACCTACAAATGGACCCAGTCTTCCAGATATGATAATTTCAATTTGTATTATTTTGACCACTGAGCTTAACTGCAGAATATAACCTCTAGAATTTTTTCATACATGTGCCACTGGATCATGTACAAAATTAACCCCGTTTTCATGTTTGTGATATTCAGGTTCAGAGGAAAAATCTTGAGATTGAGTCTGAGATTGTATTATCTAAGGAAGAAGGAGAGAAGGCAGAAGAAGTAACAGCTGATGATAGTGCATCTTACTGCCTGATTGGAAGTCTGAGCTCACAGTATGGTGGAGACACATCTATCCTATACCACCAATGGGACTTGCACACCAGGGAGCAGAAAGTCAATCAGATAGTATTGTTGAAGGTGATGTCATCTTAAATTTGTATTACAGCAGTGAGGCAGCCATATCTGTTGGTTGTTACAGCCACTGTTAGATTTTGGGCATACTGACACTATACAATACAGAGTTGCACAGGTCTCTGAGTTACTGACGTGAAAGCTGATAAATGTACATAGTACAGTAGAGCATCACGTGGATTTGCCAGCTTGGGTCTGGAAGAAAAATATTTTTATGAAATTGGTTACCCAATTTGAGGGTATCTTATTTGCCCACTGGTGCTTCAGTTTAAGAGTTTGTATAGCCAATGCTAGCTTGCACATCTCAGCATG